AAGGTAGTAATTATTCAAGATGAAAATAATTGAATTTAATGGGCAACATTTTCAATTTCGGCATTTCGGCGTTCTTTACAGTTTCCATTTTTTTCTATGAGTAATTGCTCAAAAATAAGATATGTCTTTGTCGCATCTGGTTTAAAGAAATTAATACACAGAGGCAATATTCTGATGATACCGGTACAGACATAGACGCTGAAATAAACGATTATCAATAAATTTGCCACTCTCTTCTACGTCTTTGATGTGTTCCCGCTGTTTGTGTTTTTATTTGTTTGGGTCGTCAGATCAAACAAATAATGGTAGCGAAATTTCAGAGCCTAATGCTGTTAATTGCAAATGCCTAAAGTAGTCCACTTTTTTGAAGCGGTTACTTCCCTTTATATGTACACTAACGGCGAAAAATTCAGGGAAGATCAATGCGTAAAGATTGTCAAATGACAGGCGCATTAATTTTCAAGCAAATTAGTTCCCGAATGGTCGAATAATTCAAATATTGTTTCATTCTTTATAGATATACATGCTTACAGTAAGCTCCATGATTATTTACATCTGTGTTTAGCGTCGAAATGATAAGAGTTACAAACCCTAATTTAGAATAATATGGTTTTTTTCGGGACGTTGATATATAACTTCACCACGGCCAAGGGGTTTGCACGCTCGCTTTTGAATCGAGAGGTCTCGAGTTCAAATCCAAGTTGAGGCAACTCATTTTTTAAAAAATTTTTTTTAAGTCAAATAGACATTGAATTGACTATCAGTGTTGCAATTAGTCTTAAAGTTAAAAAGACTGGAAAGCATTGGTGGCACTTTACAAAAAACAAATTGGTTTATAATCTCACAACCTTCACCTTTCTGACATTCTGAGACCCAAACAAATTCAGCGCCTTCTGTGCTTTGATTACTCTTTACTATTTAGTCACCCACTAAATCCCTAAACGAATGTTTTGTGTATCGAAAGCACGAAAACATTCAGAAAACATAAACATTATTCCCTGCTGTTGTGCTCGCTTATTTTACATTTTCCACAAGAGGATTATGGGTCTGTGGAAAGTTTACTAGAAATTGTTATAGTAATTGCCTCTTTTCTATTTTCGTTTTCTACTAATTATAGAGTTAGTTAATTGTAAAAAAACGTTAGTTATAAGATGACGCTAGTCTTTTAAATATCTGTTTAATTGACAAGTAACATAAAAATCATGGACAGTCATCTGAACATCATATCCTTTAGTAAGGATTATTTTCTTTAAAACTTTACATGTATGTAGCTTTTCCGTACGCACTGTGTTCTTTTCTTTTTCTAGATTAGATTCATAATATATTTTACATCTTTATCTAATTTATTACTTAATCTTAACATAGTATAAAATTACTGGATTTTTTTTTCTAATTTTTCAAAAATTTCTCATCCTTTTAGTAGAAATGAGATTGTTCTTAGTGTAAACATAAGTGTTGATCTTTGTTAGAATTTCTCGTTACATAGATATTAGTTTGTGAACAAAAGTTAATTAACAGAATAAAACATGTAGCTGTATTTGGGTAAGATACACCTTTTGTATTATGCAAGTATGTTGTAAAATATTTTGAAATATCTAATAGTTAATATAAAACAGGAGATAGTTCCGTAGTTAATTGAACATCTAGATTAGAAGTATAATCAGATAAACAGTATTATGTAAACGTAAAATAATTCTTTCGACTTTGGAAGATGTTTGATGGGCATTCAGCTACAAATCAGATCCAAGCTAAGCATCGTTTGAAAGTGATCTTGTCACGTCACACTACACACGTCAAACAAACTAAAACCATCCTGAAAATACCAGCAAAATGTCATTTAGACTTCGATTTAGAGTACAAAATCATTCAGGTTTCGAAATTCCCTCTTGTTAATTGCAAATGATTTTTGTCTGTGAAATTTGTCTTTCCCACGAAAATTGTTTACATGTATATAGAGGAAAATGCTGGGAGAACATGCTGGATTAACCAGATGGAATAGATATGCATTTGTTATATGTTTTAAAGATATCATAAATGTATTTTTAAAGGTTTCTTGCTTTAAGTTGATAATTTGTTTGCTTTCTAAAGGCACAATGTCCATTTCAACAATAAAACTGTTCATTGTGCAATCACAGTCTTTTCATATTCATGATATTGTCATATTCAATTTCATCTATAATAAATCATTATATTTGATCTTATTGAAATATGGTAAACAACTTCTAAACAGTGTTGTTTGAAATAATGTGTTTGTATTACACATCTAACGGGTTTTAAATAAGTGCATTGCTTAGTGATACAGATATGGGACTGCCAGTCATAAAACAAATATTAGTGAATACAACGTTTATCTCTTGTTAACAAAGCATGCTGAAAATCGGAAGTGTACAGTAATGGTGTTCATTGATCAGTCTTCATACATTATATATTCAAAAGAATTAAACCAGGTTTATCCCACAACACAATCATTATACTCAAGGTCACGACGAAATGGTTGAAAGTTTTATTAACAAGAATTGTTCGGAGTTTAGTTTTGTTTAAAGACGACATTCTCGTTAAGAAGTAGTTACATAGTTGCATTTTAAAACCTTTAAATAAGCTTCACTGAGGTCAAACAACCTAAAACTAAAATAACATGTTTTTGAGAGTAAAGTTTAATTAAAGAATATAATTTAATTTCTTCTTTATAAAATATTTTTTACAAGTTAAACGTTTTAAAACATGTTGTCAATAGATATATATCTGCCTTACATGTCATGGTTATGTTTAATATCTTATACTTATGTCTGATAACCGCTTTATGAACACATTTGCGGATGTTTCTAAATTCGAAATTACATCATTTTCGCGTTTAAAAGTTGAATTCTGCCTAAGCCGGTGCTAAGGGGTGGAGGTAACTTGCACTTTCCAGTACAGTCCATGAACTGGCAAAATAAAACCCATCCTGCAACATTTTCAATTTTTGTCCTTTTGGACGTTTTTAAGGGATTCCGTTTTTCTCGATTTAATAGAAATACACAGCTCACATACCATTTTGCTATAAAATTAATTTAGCAAACTAAATGATTTTTAATAATTATAATTCTTCAAAGGTTCATCTCGATATTCATATTTCTGTACAGTTGATACATTAGTCATTTATCTTTTAACATTTTATAACAACTCAATTGAAAAGGTAAATCACCAATATAGTCACCCAATTCATTTCAATTTTAGATAGATTTACATGTTAATAGGTCTTTTAATTCTTGAAATATGTTGTTCTGTCATTACTTAAAAAATGGCTAGAACAAAGGAACAATACTATACACAACATAACCAACTGCATGTTAAACAGACTGATTAGTCCTAAAACTTAATGTATAATAGAAATGCAAACACTAACCGTAACATATTATTTTTGTTTTGTCTTGGCAAAAATCTAAAGCGTTTTTTTCTTTAATTTCATGAATAAATAATTTAAGAAATATTTCTTGTGGAAATGTATATAGATGTACACTGAACATGTAAGATATTTTTACATAATGGATTTAATTACCAGTTTTACACATAAAAGATGTATCCCATTTCTTTTTCTATTGTGGTAAGATTAAATTAATATATAAAAATCAATTATACTTGGATATTAATATACACTACATTAAGCTCAAACATTTCTCTAGGGGACATATAACGACGTTACTGAATTCTCTATCATCATTTTAATGGCAGTTTACTGAGTGAAGAAAACTATTTTTAGTAGTTCTAAATGTAGTTAAGACCCTTACCAATCACCGTATGCACCCTATTACTTCTAACTTACAAATAAAACAAGTTTCCAGATTTTTCATCTGTAGCAGAAAAAGAGTGTTTTATATTAACTCAAATTAAGGAATAGATATTTTTGTACAAGTATATGAAGTTTAAATTTGATTTTATGCTTATGATATGAATAAATGAATAAGATTATTAACTGACAATTGAGTCATAGTTTATCTTTGAAACTCAACTATCAAGATGTTTGAATCGCACTATAATTAAAATATGATATTACAGAATCATTTCTGAAACACATGTAAACAATATGCTCATGAACACACAGAAACAAATAACAAATAGATACCCTATGTTCAACTTGTTAATTAACATGCAACGGATACCAAACATTCACAGTATATTAGTACAAAAGAGAAAAATAACCGACGATTGTACGAACAATATTACAAATGCTTTAATCTTATTCATACATGTATTTATTTTATTATTATCATTATTGTAAAGAAATACACGGACATGGATATTATGGGACAAAACTTTACTTCTAATCAATCTTCCATAGCATCATGAAACGACATTATCTTTTGCTCACAATTTACGAAATCTGTGAAATAATTATCCCGGAAAAAACATTTAATGTCTCGAGGGTCATATATTCTTATAGTCAAACTCTTTATTTGTCCATTAAGCTGGAATATTAGATGGAAAGTCATTAGCTATTGAATGATAGTTTAATGATTTACAGATGGATCTCGTTTTCATGCACTGCTCACTTCGATATACAGGCATATTTTGATCTTTTATTAGATGTTTGTTTACAGATTACTTAACTATTATATTGAATTATATTATAAGTTATCATAACGATATCATTGTGGACAGCATATTTGTGTATGCGGTAATAATAATCATATTGTATATGAATAATGATAGGAAAGAGCCATTTTTATGTTTCTGTAACCATGCCAATTGTTAGAATTTCTCTGGGCATTTTATTTAAACAGGTTGTCCTTTATTGTCAAGAACAAGTGAATATTAATTTATTCGCCCCTCCCTGCTACGTCTTTGATGCACTTTCATCGTTTTTGATCTTTCCTGTTAGGTGATCCACTTACTGCTTCTTCACTTGTACATAGTGGCTGCTTTCAGTAAATATATCTTTTTTCGTTTTACTATGACTACTTCTTTTTCTAGGTACTGCTAACCCCTCTCGGGAGTGTTATAGGCATGCATAGTGCACGGATGTGGTAGTAAAGGATGTGAGAGAAAGTGAAAACATGAAAATGAAATGCACATTATCAGGACAGTGACTTCAAGTCATATAACATCTTTATCTAATTTATTACTTAATCTTAACATAATGTAGAATTATTGGAATTTTTCCAATAATTTCTTATCCCTCTAGTGGTAATGTGATTGTCCGTAGTTTAGTAATTGGTGTTTAACCAGAGTATCTGTTCTTAGAATATCACACAACTAACTGTGTATGGTGAACGGAAGTTATTTTACAGAACACAACAACTGGGATTTTTATTTGGATAACTTATGGATTTCTAGAAAAGGTAAATCTTTCAACGATTTTTTTTATAGATTTCTAGGAAAGGTACACCTTTCATCTCATACATGCATGTATAATTAATATTTGGACATAACTAAATGTTAAATATAAAACATGGGCTATTTTAGAATTCAGTAAACATCTTTAAAAATATGATTAGATAAGATGATATAACAGCGTAAAATAATGTTGCTGTTTCGAAGATTTTTTAAGGATATAAAATAACATAGGTGCCATATGTACAGAGGTCCAAGCACCGTTTGAAAGTAATAGAAAATGATCGTGTCAATATACACGGGTCATTAAACCTAAGTATATCCTAACCATGCCAGGAAATTGTCATTAAGATTTCGATTGAGTTTACAAAAACCATAAGTAAAAAAGTTCCTGTGTTAAATTTTGAATTATTTTGTCAGTGAAATTGGACTTTTACACGTATAGTGTTATCTTGAAGGACATGACGGGAAAAGCTGGGTTAATTATTTTTCAGCTGAAATAGATATGCATAAGAGATTTTAATAATATCATAATTTCATTTTCAAGACTGTTTTGCTTAGGGGTCTTCAATTGTATCAAGAATAAGCATGAAATCCATTACAAAAGTTAAACAATTTATTATGCGATCATAGTCTTTTGATATTCAGGTCCAGGTAAAATAAATCGTAATATTTGCTTTTATTGAAAGTATTGTAAACATTAATCAAAACAGTGTTGTTTTTTTTTAAAGTAATGTAAACATCAATCAAAACAGTGTTGTTTGAAATAATGTGTTTGTTAATGTATTATCTAACGGCTTTTAAATAAGTGCACAGCTTATCGATAAAGACATGAAATTGGCCCACTATTTTTCAACTGATAAATTTTGGAGCTATACAGTAATGACGTTTATTGATCAGAATTCATACATTAAATATTCAGGAGGATAAAAAAACAGGTATATCTCACAACACAATCAATATACTCAAGTTCAGGAACGACTTGATTGACTGTTTTATTAACAAAAATCTCTCCGAGTTTAATTGTTTGTAAAGATAAGTTGTTTAGATTAAATATTTAACTTGTTACTGAAATGGAAGACAGTTGATAGTTAAATGAAATATACATTATTTCAACAGAGAGATGTTAATTCAAGCTAAATGTAATGTTTGACTTAAATCAATTATACGCAGACCTTTATGCGTTTATATGAAATCGGGACATGGTCTGAAATTTTGAGAGTGTCATTTAATCTAATAACTGTGCACATTTATTTGACGATATTTTATTCGAATACAATAGCAAAGCCCTAGTAGAATGTTCTAAAAAATGCATAAAAACTAGAATTCATTTTCTAATGATCATTTGTTTTATTTTGAGTTCAGTTCTTCTAGTTACACATTTCATTACCACGCTGAGTGCATTGACTGATTGTATATCTTTACAGGACAATCAGTTTCATAAATGTGTAATTTTATGAATAATATCTCAAGCTTCATCTTGATATTCAAATATTTATATTTGATCATTTTTTCACAACTCCCTCTTATCATTGACATATTTCTTAGACTTCAAAAATAGAGTAAATATTCGGGTTTATTTGATTTCAAAAGAAGATGCAATTTTCATTAAGTTTTAAAAGTTATAAAAGTTATCAGACATGAATGTCATGTATATGCTTACCTCAATTTACAACCTTTAACTTATTACCATGGAAAGGTTATGTAATACAAACTAAGTGTTGTTTCCCATGAAAAGAGTGACTTTCTTATGCGAACAGTTTGATGTTTAAATTGTTTGATATTAATATCACAGGCTGCGAAAAATGTGAAGTCTGACCGGGACTCTTACACGGGACCCTCGGAATACGTTTTGCGGCTCTACCGATTGAGCTATCCGGTCGATTATACAACTTCTCCCTTAAATTGTGAACAGTTCTGAACAGTGATTTTGGATAAAATAAGTATAATGTATTTCGTATATTTCTAAACATTTCTGCATTCTATTTTAAAATGGTTTGCAAAGACCATATCTATAGTTTTTCTTATAATCTTCATAGATTTATATAATGACTTGAAGTACGTTTTCAAAATTTGTGTGAATAAAAACCATCGATCTGTACAAGAATGCAATTTTTTATGTAAGAATGATTAATATGTACTTATATAAACAATGACATCATTTCTGCTGTACACTCTATTTCAATAAGATTAAATTCTGTAAAAATAATAAAAAATCATGTAAAATTACTATTTATTAATTTAGGAGAACTAACATATTAATAAATTTGGTATACGATTATAAAAGGGTATGAGACAACTTTTATATAACATTATATAAATAGCCTTATTGATTGCTGGCTCACAATAATATTGATATTCCTTCATCGTACGGAATTTACACAAATTTACGTTGTTTTAATTTGATAATGCAAGATTAAAATTGCTGGAAGTAATTGTCTGCAACACGCCCCATGGAATAATCTCAAAGATCAATACAAGTGTCATGTACATTGCTGTTGATAATGATGATGTTGTTTCAATCTAATAAACACAAAATTGTATTGCCTCATTACTTTCAAAATCATTACTTTGTTCTTTACCTTCCTTTGACGAGATTTACATATGCATTTTATCTTAGCAGTTAAAGTCATAATGGTTTTCTCTATCTTAGGAGTCAAGCTAATAAAGAAAGAAAACATAACAGTCAATGGTCTTATTACTGAATTATCTAAATACAAGAAATTTTAGAATGAGATAAGCCGTATCATATAAAGACAGGAAATGTTACAAATACATCATTATCGACCATAGAAAACCTTTTGGAATAATATTTATGTAATTGACATGAGTGGTTAAAAAGAGGATATTGAATGAGTGTAGGTTTAATACTAAATTTATTGAACTAGTTCAATACAACCATATTATGCGAGCCTCTAACGAGCATAATATTGTTTTATTTAACGAGTTCAATAAATTTAGTATTGAATCTACACGAATATGATATTCTATTTATCACATATTCAAAAAGAGAACGGTTTACAGTTAAAACGAGTCATTCTTCATTGACACGCCTCTAGTATAACGCTAGCATTAGCGCGCTTTAACGCTATGTGTATATATATATAGCGCAAATGACGTCACGTCAAAGTGTTATTACACTAGTGTAATATCGTTTTTATAAAATGGCTTTATTACACTCCCGCGCCGCGTTTTATGTGATAGATAGTGTTTTGGACTAATTGCCATGGACATGAGATTATAATTCAATAAATATTATGTAGTTTGTAGACAAAATGAATAAAAAAACTGTACATTTATGCCAGCTTCATGGAATGAAAAGTAAAAAAAAAGATATGTGAGTGATAAAACACGTAGTGAAACATACAATTACAGGCTTGCAAGAATTCTTTTACATATTTCTTTAGTACATGTATGGTTAAAAAAAGTAAGAATTTTTTTAAAACATTTGTAAATAAACATTAAACGAGAAGAATTGCATTGAAGCTTCTTTAAAAAAACAACTTGAGTGTACGGTTCATTATCTAAAACCTTTTTTGGGAAATCTGAACAGTATGGCAATCAGAGTCAAACGTCATCCAGATAGCACATCTGATCAATGGTATATAGATATTGTTTAACTTGTGTTAATGATGACATTGTATATGACATTGACTGATGGTTGTATATTAGATAACAGCAAATTCGAAAAGAGTTTGATAGTAGCATAAGTGGTGACGAAATTCTTGTTTTATTCCTAACATTAACCCTAGAAATTGTCTTCGGGTAATTTTGGAGCTGAACATTAGGTTTTATTTTCGGTATACACATGATATTGTCCTGTATTAGGAAACATGATAGGATCTTCACAACGGATGGATTGTCTTCAAATTGGACAAAATGTCAAATACCTCTATACTGCTTGTTTATATATTTCAGAAACTTATTTATTAGCACAAGTACATTAACAACAAGTATAACTTTTAGGTCATTTTCTAGTGGAACTTCGTTCTTGTATACATGGTCAAAATGAAATTGAATGTATATACCATTTTCTGATTAATGTGCTTTGTATGAAAATGTGCGTCAACAATTTATACTCGTATCTCTACAAGTATTGGTAATATCAAATATTCATGGAAATAATGGAACTTTGAAACTGAGTTATACAGATGAACTTAAAGCGTACTCACTGGAAACAATTGTTAGGCGTCTCAGGACTCCAATCCGTAAATAATGTGATAATAATTTGAACAAGGGTGTTTTTTTTTATTGATCATGCATGTAATAGAATATTATTAAAACTATATTAGGACATTAAAGTCAAGACATTTTAAAAACGATCGAGTCTAGACTTTCAGTTACCTCTGATCCTAAATATCAAGTAAGTTACATAAACGACCTAACCTTATAGTTAAGTTCGTCTTAGACCTGTTTCTCAATAAATGATGTTTCGATCAGAATATTACTCAAGGATGAAATCTAGCATGTTATTATCATCTCACATTTGATCGTCGTTCATTTTGTTAAATCTCATTTTCTGTCTGGCTAAATCACTGTTGCATTATTATATTAATGCCGCGTTTATAGATGTATGAATCATCGCTATCATTATCTCCTACATTAAATTAACGGTCAAATCTATCGTGTTGTCTCCCGTTCACTATATATGACATAAATGTATTTTGGCTTGTTATACCTCACGGAAAATGCTCCTATCTGCTACATGCACTCGTATGTACAGCGGCAGGACCAAATAATCCTATTTAAAACATCTGCAAGTCAACTCTATAAACAATTTAACCGCGCGGTTACAGTTACCAACAACGATAAAATATGGTCATCATTTTAGCTTTAACGATATGGTCATTCTTTATTAAAGTCTAAAAATACTCAGGCGATAAATTGGGAAATAAATCTTCTTGAATCTATAAGCTAATGGTATTAACAAAAGCAAGTAAATGTTCAGCAATTATTATTACTGTTTTTTAAAACTATAACCATAATGTTGAATATTATGGGACAGACT